AGCTATCTTCTAAAACAAAAAAGTTAGAGCCATTTGAAATATAGAGGCCGTCCTCGAAATCTCGAATTATCGGAAACTTTCCGGAGCCATATCTCCGGCCTCGGAGGTCTCAGAACGCTCATCTTCGGGTTCCGGCATTTTTTTTCATATCCCAAATTGTATGCAAAATTTCAGCAAAATCTGTGACATGCCGTCCATCAGGTGGCTGACTTGACATGGAATGACCCGAAACCCAATCGCCCACTCCTTCTATTCAATTCTTCCTGGTGAAAAGAGTGTTCAAAGAGAATGATCATTCTGAAGTTCATATTATTTCATTTAACTTTATTCAGTCTGGTTATTATATCTTTTATTATTGTAATATTTTCACCAGGACTCGGCTAGCAAGGTTGAGCCGGTCACCACCTACGACGGATTAGACAACGAAGATCTGTATGTCAAGTACAAGAAGCTCCAGCAGCAGTTAGAGTTCCTCCAGGTTCAAGAGGAATATATCAAGGTATCAGAAGATTGTTTAATGTTTATGATTAATATTTAATATTATGCCCATAATCTAGTTATTTAAATAGTAAGGCTGTCTGTTTGTTTGTATGTATGTATGTGGCCATAAAGCATAAACCTCTTGATCGTTATGCCACACATATTGATTGGAAGCTCGGTAGAACCACGGGAATGTTATTAGATTGGATTAAAAAGTCTAGTTTTCACTTCCAGACAAAGTTGGGATTCCAAACTACCTTAGAACAAGAGTAAACATTCTTGTAACAAATTGGAATTACTTATTATTTTCAGGATGAACAGAGAAATCTGAAGAAGGAATATCTCCATGCCCAGGAAACCAACCCAAATCTTAAATGACAATGATAAGCTTAGATAAGATAAGATAAGATCTGGGGGCGGGAGGGGGGTAAAATTTATCAAGATTTTATTATTTTTTTTATCCTTTTTGATACTTATAACCTAAATTTTATTTATTTCCAGCTAAAAATCATCTTTTTCTCCCAATTTAGCTATAAACCACCTTAACTAACATACATAACTTCGGGGGGGGGGGGGGATTTTCAAGAAGATAATCACCCCTGAGTTCTTTATCATTGGTTGTTAATATCTCGAGTGGGGACATAGTGTGTTTCTTAAAAAATTTGATATAAAAACAAAATGTTTACTTTTGGTTGTTTGTTGTGAACAGGAGGAGGTGAAGAGGATCCAATCCGTTCCTCTAGTTATTGGTCAGTTCCTGGAGGCAGTAGATCAGAATACTGGTATCGTTGGGTCTACCACCGGCAGCAACTACTATGTTAGGTATGTTTATATCAAGGTTGTAAACAGTGCTTAGGACCAGGATCCGTTGGATCCGCAAGATTTTGGCATCCTGGATCCGGATCCTCAAAAATATGCTGATCCATGATCTGGATCCAATGGGGAAATATCAACTAAAGACTGCAAAAAAAAACTTTTTTGCTCACAAACCCCAAATCTGAACTGAAAAAAGAGAGATTATTAAAATTCCCTGATATTAATGGTTCATCATTTATTAGCATTAAAAAAAAAAACGAAAAAAAGATGAAAAATAATTTGAAAATTCTGCTTTGGATCTGGATCCTTTTATTTTCAAGATTAGTTTGATCATAAACAATGGTTGTTAAGTAAGATTAGATACTATGGATGCCCTCCAATGTACTAAAAATGTCGTTTTTATAGCAATGAACATTTAACATCTTCATAAATAGCGGAGGAAATCCTCCCTAACCAACATTGTTGACACTTTATCTTCCGCTAATGATCAGTTACGTCGTATCATATGAGGATTTTGAGTGTTCTTTGCTATGCATTTGACATTACCAGTACATTAAAGCGCATCCAGATTATCTATTCTTACTAAATAACCTTGTTCTTATTCAAATGTGCTTCCCTCAAACTTAAATTTTCTCATCCCTATATTTAATTTAAAGTTACACCGTCAGATTGCAAAGATTCAGGTTCAGCGTTTTGGAGGAAAAATCAGTTTTTTTCATAGTTTCTCGGAATTTGTCTGAGAGTTATAGATTTTGGAACGGGCAGTTACCATTGAAATTGAAAGTTTAACGTTTAAAAAGTACCATAAAAAGGCACATATTCAAATTTTTATGGAAGTTGAATATTTTATTTTTAAATTCATTTGCAATTTTCTAAGATATTTCTATTTGAAAAGAGAAAATAAACCTATGGTTAAAACTTCAGATTAAAGATTTTCGAGTGTGTATTTATTGAAAGTTTTTGGTGTACAAAGTGCAATATAATTGAAGATTTTATCTAATCCGTAAAAATTAACTTTTGTTTGTGTTTAACCGCGTTGACGGTTTTGGTCCCACAAACCCGGGAGGTTTCATTTTGAAGCTTGATTGATTGATTATATTCTAGGATTTTATCTACTCTGGACCGTGAATTACTGAAACCCTCAGCTAGTGTAGCTCTTCACAAACATAGTAATGCTTTGGTTGATGTCCTTCCCCCAGAAGCTGATTCATCCATTTCCATGCTAGGAAACCATTAAAACGGATTTAATTTGTTTTTTAAAGGCTTTGACAATATTTACGGGACATTTTTCAGTCAAAAAATCTTGAATTTTAAATTTTTAGAAATAAGGGAATTTTGAAAATATGCTTTTGTTTTCCTACTTTTTGTAACTGTTTTTTACGTAATTTCTATTTTTCTTTAAAAATGGTTTTTAATAATGATTTATCAACTTCATGCGTTAAGGAAACAAGAAAAGGTTTATAATGGTTTAAACTCCAGGAGCCGACGAGAAACCTGATGTTGCGTACTCAGATATTGGAGGTAAATATATTTTAAACTAGACTTTTTTATTTCAAATGAACACATTTTCAAAATTTATTGAAAATCGAATTTTGTTGGAGGCTAGTTTTTGAAATGTTGATCATTCATAAACCAAAGGCTGTCTTGACGAAATAAAGAGTAGAAATGATTTTACAGTTAAAATTTCCATGTTAAGGAATGGATATGCAGAAGCAAGAAATGCGTGAAGCAGTGGAGCTTCCTCTCTCTCATTTTGATCTTTACAAACAGATTGGTGAGTCGATTATTTAGATTATATTGATTATCTAGCTTTCTTAGATCATTTTGTTAGTTTTGAAAATGTTGACCATTCTGATAATGTTTATCTGGAAAAAGAGAACGATGTGTTGATTGATCGATAACTTTATAAACAAATTGATGGATTTATTCATTGTTAATTTTAATTTATATTAACAAATTACTCATATAATTTAATAAATACTCTTATTTTGTTGAATTTTTATTCTTACAAACAAATTGGTGATTCGAATCAAAAATGTCCTTATTTTTATTCATAATTTAGGTATTGACCCTCCCCGTGGTGTACTGATGTACGGCCCCCCTGGTTGTGGAAAAACTATGTTGGCAAAGGCAGTGGCTCATCACACCACAGCTTCATTTATCAGGTTTAATCTTATTGTATGGGTATTGGGTATATCTACAATCTACATATATTTATACGTGTCTGTGTGCGTGTCTGTGTGCGTGTCTGTCTGGGTGGGTGTCTGTTTGTTTGTATCTAATAAAAGTCAAAACGGCTGAACCGATCGGGCCTAAATTTTGTGTGGAACCTCACATGACCCCAGGAAAGGTTTTTGGATGATCAAGATTTTGAAAATTAGCCTCCTACAAAATTCGATTTTCAAAAATTTTGAAAATCCACGATTTTTTTTTTAAATCCGTTAATTTTTTAGTGTTTTCAATTTGTACAACGAGAAAATGTTCACAATTGAAATAATAAAGTCTAGTAATATATATTTTATTGAATAATCTTTCTTCTCCTCCCTCTGTAAAAATAAACTTTGAAATTCTCAAGATACTTCATTTTAAGTGACCCTCCATTTATAGAATGGAATGTCCAATTCATAACGATACCATTTATTTTTTATTTTACTAGATAAAAAATCGTTATTTTCAATTGCGTTTTCTTTTAAAAATGACCTGCGAATTTTTGCACTGAAAAATTATGAGAAAATTGTGAGAATTCAACTCATTTAGATTTTTCTCATTCTTACTCAGATGTAGTTTTAAATATCAGAATAAAAAGTTAACACCCATAACGATTTTGACAATCCCTTTAACTTTGTTAAGGGTTGTTGGATCTGAGTTCGTGCAGAAGTATCTAGGAGAAGGACCGAGGATGGTTAGGGATGTGTTTAGGCTGGCCAAGGAGAACTCTCCAGCAATTATATTCATTGACGAGATAGACGCCATTGCTACCAAGGTTAAACTTAATTTACATACAGTGGGACACATAAAACTTAAGAGTGATATCCTTTTGAAAAAAAACTGATAATTGTCGAGTAAGATTCCATTGCTACTAAGGTATAACATAAATCCATACAGTGACACACATTAAACTGTGGAATACGAAGACGGCTGTTAAATTGATTATAAATATTCATTGGAATTGAAAAACTAAACGAGATAGGTGCCATTGCAATTAAAAGAATGAACTAAATGTTTTAAGTATTACTAATAAGAAATATTGGCCTTATATTTTCTTTAAAAAAAATTGGTTTTTTTTTTTTTATGCGGAATTCGTTTTTTTTTCAGAACTAGTAAATTGCGTTGTTTTTTGGGGGAAAAATAAATGATTTTTTGGTAATAAATACAATTTACACTTTACTCCTTAAAAAGGAGAAGAAGAAAGTACTAAAATAAGACTAAAGCATTTATGCTTTTTATGATTTATCATTATGAGTAATGAGTAAATAAAAATACTATAATAATGATAATCTTGCAGAGGTTTGATGCTCAAACTGGAGCTGATAGAGAGGTTCAGAGAATCCTTCTAGAACTCTTGAATCAGATGGACGGGTTCGATCAAACAACAAACGTCAAGGTAAACTCTTCTTGAACCCTTGAATAAGATGGACGGGTTCAGAGCTAAAGAAGATTCATGTCATATTTAGGTCATCCAGGATTAATCTGGAAGAACTTTGTTAAGTGTACACCAAACAAATTCTACATTCCAACATTTAAACAGATTAAATCTGACTTAAATGGTTTCTTAACTCTGTTTCCTGAATTCTACACAAAGTAAAGTCTTACACTTGCCCCAAATTTTCTTGAGGAACCATTGTATTAGATATTTGATTTGTTTAAAAATTAACATGATATTTTAAGCATAAGGGAGAGTAAAAATACTTGGTTAAATCAGATAAAAGGCAAGACCATCAAGTTATGGACAATCGACATAATTATCTTAAGCATTTTTTCTCAAATCTTTCAATTTTCACACCTCGACTGCTTTCTAAGGTTAAATGGATTGTTTTAGATTTCAGCCAAATCGAAGATGCCGATTGTCAAACACAATTTTCCCTTTGTTTGGAAGGAGCACAATGTTATTTGCAGTGCTTAGGATCCGTTGGATCCGCAAGATTTTGGCTTCCTGGATCTGGATCCAGATCCGTATCAAAATTAAATGGATCCTAAGCACTGGTTATTTGCCACATTTAAACCTTCAGAAATCCTTATCTTCAACTTGTTTCTGGAAAATATCCTTATTTTAGGTTATAATGGCCACAAACAGGCAGGATACTTTGGACCCTGCTCTACTTAGGCCTGGCAGGTTAGAATTCATCCCAGGGGTTTATTTTTTCTTCGACCCCCCCTTCCCCTTCATTAAAAGTAATTTTCTTGTAAATTATTCAAGAAAACTTTTCGTGAAATTGGTGATGGGTCTCTTAAAAAATGTATTTCCACTTTTTTAGTTTGATTTTTTAAATAATTATTTAATCGATTTGGTTTGTGATTGATTAACTGATTGGAAGATAGACTGTAGAGGTAAATGACATTATTTGGCCCGTTAGTTACTTTAAGTAACTAATATTTTAGTTATATATTTTTAGAAATTAATGCTTTATGTTGTTGTAGAATGATTGATTGATTTTAATATATGTGAAATACATGAGTCCATATGATTCCATCCAACGCGATCCCTAATGTTGACTGATATGTGGGGCAGAAATTCACCATGTCAAGTAGTCGAAAAATTTGCATACTGCAAGGGAACATTTATTTTCTGTAAATGAAAATTTTATCTTTTACATAAAGGACTGATGTTACATGTTGTACAGTGTACACCCATAAAGGACTGATGTTACATGTTGTACAGTGTACACCCATAAAGGACTGATGTTACATGTTGTACAGTGTACACCCATAAAGGACTGATGTTACATGTTGTACAGTGTACACCCATAAAGGACTGATGTTACATGTTGTACAGTGTACACCCTATAGTGTAGTACACGTACACAAAATGACACTGTCGCTGTATTTTCCGTCCCAAAATGACCTTTCAAGCCAGGTCTAATCATGATTACATATGGAATTATATGGACCCATGATAAATTGTGGTAAATGTTGTATATTTGTATTTAAATATAATTAGATTGGACCGAAAGATTGAATTCCCTCTTCCTGACCGCAGACAGAAACGTCTCATATTCTCAACTATCACAGGTAACCATTGTCAATATTTATTGATTGCAATCAATACCCACGTAGCTAAAATTGTTTTAAAAAGTTCATAAACATATTAATTTGTATGGTAAAGTACCGGAAAGAAGAGTTTGTCAGTGCTTATGTCAAAATTATTGTTTTCGATAACCGAAACCTGTATAGGCTTCGGTAATATGGATATTGGAGCGCCGACCCCTATTTTATTATTGGTCGTCATTCAAAAATAGTAATGATAATATTAATAAATGGAATACCAAAGGCCATTTTTGCAGAAAATTGTTTTCATCATTGCAACTTTTTTTTAAGTTGGAATTACCTTTACAATAAGTTCAAATTCTATAAACTTTAAATAATCTAATCTAGGGAAAATGAATCTATCTGACGAAGTTGACCTAGAAGACTACGTGGCGAGACCTGACAGAATTTCAGGTGAAAATTTCAGATTTTTTAGTTTGATTTTAGAATTAACCTAAAAAAGAAACTTTTCGATCATTTGATATTAGCTAAAAGGTTGGAAAACAAATCATTTTAAAAAATATGTTAAAATTCCGGAAGATTTTACTCTTGCTTTTATTCAGGGGTTTATATTTTCCTTAAAAATTTCCCCCCCCCCTAGAAAATCTTTTTTATAGAAGTTTATGTTTTTTTAGAGGTTTTCTCACTAAATTTGGGAATCAAAATTATTTGGTAAAAAGTATCAAGTACCTCTGCCATGTCAAAGTCAATTTGACAATATTAGAAAATATTATAAAACTGTGTTGAATATTAGAGTGGGGTTTAGTTTGAATAAAAAAATATTTTGCAGTTCAACTTTATTCTCTAGAAATAATATTCGTGATCTTATCTAACTTAATATTTAGGAGCGGACATCAACGCTATTTGCCAGGAGGCCGGTATGCATGCTGTCCGAGAGAACAGATACATCGTCCTACCCAAGGACTTTGAAAAGGGTTACAAGAACAACATCAAGAAGGAGGACGCGGAACATGAATTTTATAAATAAGGACCCAAATATCTCCCTGACGTGCCCCCTTTTCGTTTTCTGTACCTAAATCATTATGTTAATATATATCTTTGTCCAATTTAAGGAAATGTTTCCCTAGTTTTCAGACGAAAAATGGTAATTAGTCAGCCCCCGCCCATGCACCAAATGGGCGGGCACCAGATGGGTGGGTTCCACCAACATCAGCCGGCAGTTATGCAGAAAGGTCCGCCTGGAGTGCCGATGATGGGTCCGGACGGTCAGATAATCGATTTCGACGGGAAACGATTACGGAAAACGATGATGCGGAAAACCATCGATTACAGCAGTTCTTTTCTCAACATGATTCAGAATAGGGTTTGGCAGAGAGACTTCAGAGANCCGGATTTTCGACTTGTGTAAGACCTTTTACAGTTTTGTTGGTAAGAAAACGCTTATTTTTGATATTCTTAATACAAACCTATTTCGCACTTAATCTGAAGAAAAGTTATCTTCTAAAATCAAATATTTTCTCAATATATGGCAAGTTAATTTTTCATTAATAATATTACAGTGGTGTATATTACTTTTATGGACGAGTTTTAGAATCATATTTTTCGCCAAATCCACAACTTAAAAAACATGTCTACATAATTTACAGGTTTCTGAAGCCCGCGCAAACTTCGAAGAAGTTTGATTCGGCAGGGGGGGGGGGGGTATGAGCCTCCTTGCAAAGACATTTTTTTGATTTTAGTAGTATAATTTTTGAACAAAATGATAATTATTTAAGCAACCTTTTGGGTATTTAATGAGGTTGCACAAGCAACGAGATTTACCAGTAATTCAAATGGAATTGTCCTATATTCACTGCACAATTGTTGTGTTTCATGATCATTGAACTATCTAAAAACAAAACTTGAGTCTTATAGTCGTCTTCCTTTTCAATAGTTGGAACACCCGGACTCAAAAAAGGATTCCAATACTGGACTTCACCACAAAAAAAAACGATAATTTGATACGTGATATGATCCATTTTCATGGTTTTAGGGTTTGACCTCCTGAGGTAAAATACATATCTTGAGGTCAACGACCATCAGGATCATTTAAGGTCAAAAAGGGGGCTCGGAATGAAAATAGAAAAGTAAGACACCTACGATTGGATTCCTAACCTACCCCATTTTAATTGATTCTAAATTTGAAAGAAAAGTATATTTGACCTCCGGAGGTCATTAATATTTGGAGGTCATAAACAGTTTGGAACACCCGGACTGAAAACAGGATCCCAATTTACTGGATTCGGCACACCAAGAAACCTACGATTTTATAACTCATATATAAATATAATTTCATTGAAATTATATTTAGACCTCCGGAGGTCATTGATATTTAGAGGTCAAATACCTTCAGGATCATCTATGGTCAAAAAGGGACCTCGGAATAAAATCAAAACACAGAAAAACCAATGATCTACTTTCAATGATTTAAATCTTGACCGGAGGTCAAAATTAGAAAAAAAGTTACGATGAAATATTGTCCGAAAAGCTCTTGATATGATTTTATTTTTTGGTGGAAAATACTCCTTATGAATGTACAATATGAAATATATTGACAGATTTGGGTGAAATTATCCCTGCTTAAGGGCAACTGTGCGGGCAACGCCTGGTATTTCAGCTAGTTAATAACATCGGCATTTTTTAAAGGTTAAAAATCCCTTTAAGTGGGTTCGATCTAGTACAAGAACTTGAAAGGTTTTTGAAACTGACTCATACAAATGTTCTACAGTGAAACCCATTAAACTGTAGAAAAGGAATAGAATAGGAGTGGGTACACTTGGTCAATTTACATTTCTTCAACTTAAATTTAGTTTATAATGTTAAATTATCATAATTTCTTCTTATCACTATGAATTAAAGGAAATGTTAAGGATCAAACTATGTCCAGAAATTCTCGTTTGAAAGTTTTGAAGGATTAAAATGTTGGATTGTTACGCAAAAATACGTATAAATAATGAAATCACTGAACGTATTTTAATTATTAAATAATCATCAAATTATAGTATGCATTTGTACTTAAAATATGATTCAGTACAAAAACTTTCTATTGAATCAAAGAGGGGGGGGGGGGTAAAACGTTGAAAGATATTATGGGGGACTGAAAATAATTTATTTATCTTTGCATTTTTGTGACATGATTAAACCCCTATTTTAAACAATGTTTTACCACTGTTTCTAATATTCTTTGGGGAAATAATAATTTTCTGCAAATAGATTTTAAAAAAAAATATTTTAATGTCTTTCATCCCATTCGTGTATGGTTTCTGAACCAGGACTTGGCTCATCTTTGCGTCCATGATGGGCTTTGATTTAAACTCTTGAACTTCAATTTTCAAAAAATAACGAGGAAAATTAGCTTATAATATTGATAACGCAGATGTCCTTTGAGTGATAAAAAAACCTTCTCTAATTTCTTATTTGCTGTTATCTAATTTAAAGATGAGCTATACAGCCAGATATTCAATATACAGGGGGGGGGGTATACACCCCTGCAAGATCAAATATATTGAATTTAGTATGTGTGTTTTACCTGTAGGATGCCTCCCCCCCCACACACTTTATTATTTATTGTTTGAACCACTAACGAGGCATTATTTAGACGAGCTATACAGCCAGATATCTGCTATTATCCCTCAATTGTCCCACCACAGCAAATCCTGGACAATCCTGTTAATGCAGTCACTACAAGGTATTTCATTTTATTCCTTAGTAAAATTAAATCTCAATCCCATTCCCTGGAAGGATGAAACAATTTCTTTTTTTCGTGTTCCTTTTGGTCATATTTTTCCTTAAGTACTCTCTCTACGTTTCTCTTGTGTACTGTTTATCAACTTTTTCCTTGTTTTTGTCTTTGCTTTGTGTGTTTTCCCTAGAACTCATTCTCTTTTGCTCTTACTTTGATTTATTCTATTTTTTTTTCTTGTACGCACTTACTAAGATGTAAGCACTAGAAATATCATCAATATTGATAACATTTTAAAGACATGGTTTTATTTTCTAACATTTACAGTTCTGTATAATATACATGTTTGAGTACATTTTTTCTATTAATGTGAAAAATTCTTTCTGTTCAAAACAGTCAAAAATGTCGTCATCAAACGCCACTAGTAAAACTATTAAAACATACGAATTAAACCAAGAGATGAACATCATTAGAGGAATACTAGAGAGTGATGGGAAGATGTACAGAATATTTGCATAAATGAAGCCAATGACGAGAAGTATTGTTATAAAGCTGCCCGTTTTCATACAGTGTTGATTGATGGTGTTCCTGATCTACTTCATGATATCAGCAACATCATTTCAGGGTGAAACAGATCTTTCTGGGTCATCTCCTCCCTTCCAAGAGTCTCAATGTTTTCCTTGTTCAATAAAGGATTTTAGTTTGATTGAACTGTAGAGAAAGGTGTTATGCTTGCTCAATTTCTATACCGCCCGCTTCAGCATTGTGTAATTGAACTGACTGAGCCAAGTGTTCATTGCTTATTCTTGAAGAAGAATCAGTTTGATCTACTTGACCCCTGCTGTTAGAGGGAGCATCATGTACGCATCATGTACTTGAACAAACAATGTTGATCCTTGATTTCTTAACATATTCCAATTCGAAACTTCTAGAGAGGAATTTGTTTGATCTCCTTCATCTTCTCAGTTTGTCCCACAATGCTCTCTTACACTTGTTAACGACATTGCTCTTTTTTTCCTTATCAATGTCCAAAGAGATGAATCAAAGAGGAATCAGTTTGATGTTTCACCTCTATTGTGATTTTCTTGAAAGTTTCTTAAAATCCTAGCAATGACATGGATCGTTGTTTTCCTGTAAAGCTTCTACGGGGCAACTTTTTGAGGCAACTTATTTGGAAGTTTTTGAGTTAATCTCTGAAGTAACTTCTTTAATGTTAGCTTCAACATCATGCACCCTTTGCAATGGACCTAAATGCTTTGTCCGAGTGTAGGAAGGCCAGCCACGACAATTTCTAGTCCAATCCACGTTCTCCTCATTTTCTCGTCCGAGCCACCTCGAAATCTTCGTCCTTCGAATATTATCTTTTTAAAGTGTTCAATTCTCCAAGATAAACAACTTTTTAAGAATCCGGTCACGTTAGAGCATTAACGAAATATTAAATTTTTGTAAATAGAAAGAAATACTTTCAATAGAATTTAAGTTTTTGAGTGCAATGTCCTGAAAAATATGCACATTTTCAGATAATCTAAGTGTAGAATGCCGCAAAAATTCCAAGTTTATAGAACTTTAAATGTTTTTGTTAATTATAGCGAAAACCATAGATTTTTTTTGGGGTGGTTCCATGGGGAAAATTATAGGCAGAGGTATGCCAAATATTTTGCTATTTATTTGTATCACGAAAGTTAGCCATTACGGAGGCAGAAGACATTTAAGTTTCACCTAAATAAACTTTGACATCATTCTCACGGCTTTGAAGATTTCAACATGATGTAATCATTGCAATACTTTAGTCTATCCATATGTTATGCCCTAACGTGGCCTGATTTTTAAAAGATAGCTTTAATATTATATTGAAAAACTTTATATCCATAGTTATCTTAATATTATATTGAAAAACTTAATATCCATAGTTATCTTAATATTATATTGAAAAACTTTATATCCATAGTTATCTCAATATTATCCTAGACAACTTTATATCCATAGTTATCTAAATATTATATTGAAAAACTTCCATAGTTATCTCAATATTATATTGAAAAACTTTATATCCATTGTTATCTCAATATTATCCTAGACAACTTTATATCCATAGTTATCTAAATATTATATTGAAAAACTTCCATAGTTATCTCAATATTATATTGAAAAACTTTATATCCATTGTTATCTCAATATTATCCCAGACAACTTTATATCCATAGTTATCTCAATATTATCTTGAACAACTTTATATCCATAGTAATCTCAATATTATCCTAGACAACTTTATATCCATAGTCTTAATATTATCTTGAAAAACTTTAAACCCTTAGTAATCACATGGTTATCCCGGACAACTTCTTATCTCATTGTTCTGAAGAATTTGTGAGTTGTGATTACATTGTTATTCAGGAAAAGTTCACAACAAAATTTGTGTTCACCGTACAGTGTACAGTGTAATATACAATGTACATAATGCCAATTTTATCAACCGTCTGAAATTCTATGTAGAGAATATATTCTCTACATAGAACTAATCATGAACATTGAACTTCTAACTCCATCTATTTATTTTATTCCCAACTATATCGTTTAGGAGCGTCTAGTGGTGAGTTTACGCTTTGGAACGGATTAACTTTCAACTTTGAAACCATTCTTCAAGCTCATGACAGTCCGGTAGGAAATTATTTTACTTAATCTCTTGTATTAAATCTGTTGAATAATCTGCAATATCATGACAAACCATTTTGTGCAACAAATCCTTTATCTTACACCTAAGTCTTTGGTACAATAGCCCAAACACATCGCTTGTCCATAAAATGGTTAATATTGTTAAGAAATCATTTGAATGATAACAAACTCTAATTTATGACATATTTAAGACATTTTGTAGATCGAACATTTCGCGGAAAGGACTTTCCGTAAGGACATTCCGTGGATATGACACTTTTTAGATATGACATTTCAAATATAAGGCAATTCATTGTCAGAAAAAAAATTGAGTTTCTGGAAAAGTTAAGTAATTCACCTTATCTATTATCATCTTTGTTTATGAAACATTCATAAATGTTCTTTAAAGAAATGTCCGGTCTAAAAAGTGTCCTTTCTATAAAATGCCCTTCCTGTGAAATATCCTGAAATATCCCGTCTTTAAAACCAAAAAAAAAATTTCTGAATCCGAAATCTGGATCTTAAGGATTTAAGAAATGTCCTACCATATTCTGTATGTCTAGGTTCGAGCCATGAAGTGGAGTAGCAATGATAGTTGGATGGTTACCGGCGACCACGGTGGGTATATAAAATACTGGCAGTCCAATATGAACAATGTCAAGATGTTTCAAGCACATAAAGAGCCCGTCAGACAGGTTGCATTCTGGTAAATATACATTTTTTTCTTTGATTAATAGATTGAAAAAAAGTTAAGTTCCAATGTTGACAAAACAAAATTGCATTTATGATTTATATCATAATAAAGAGATAACGATAAAGTGCTAAAACAGGACGATGAAAAATCAATTTTTAGAAAGGTCGTTGAACTATCATTTCTTAGTCTTCATAAATATAAGAAACTAGGCTTTTATAGCGCTTCGCGCCCATCTTCTATTTCAATTGTGAACAATTTTCTTTACATACATTGTAAAACAAATACATAAAAAATTCGCGGATTTTATAAAAAAAATTATTTTTTGAAAATTCTATCATCCGTGTGAAGTCCCACAAAAAGTGTTGGCCCGATCGGTTCAGTCGTTTTGACGTTTATTGGATACAAGCAAACAGACAGACAGTGTAAGCAAAGTATATTTTTAGATAAGTTTTATTATTTTTTTTTTAATAGAATAATAAAATATTTTAGTCCCACTGACACCAAGTTCGCCAGCTGTTCCGACGACGGAACTGTTCGGATTTGGGATTTCCAACGGTGTATGGAGGAGCGGGTAGGTTCCTAGTTTTACAAGGGATTGTTTCCAAAATAATATGCCATTCTTTAAAATGGGATAGTAGACGTAATGTCATGTTACTATCTAGTCTTCATTTATACAGGCGCATATCCGGTTTACAACGGTATCCTTTAACTTTTATCTGAGTATCACTGGGGAGAAAAGGCGACATTTTTTCCTGTCTTGAAAAGTGTTGAAGTCTGACAATTTACTTTCAACGTCTCTGATTCCATTAATCCGCAAGTCACTTTTACAGGGAAATCTATTTGTAAAGAATCCATTTTTTCATGGAAATCGTTCTGAGCCATACATAGGTTTTTAAAGAACCGGTGTGAATCAGACATTCCAGTTAATTAACGTAGGTTCATTTAAAATTATGTTTACAGTCCCTTTACTAAAGTATAATCGATAATCAAGGATTTTCTTCAAACTTTAATAAAGATTTAGTGGTATTTAACAGGAAATTTAACAAATAAATTACATTACCTCAATTTTCTTATCCTTTTTATTTATACTTTATCATTCTGTATTCTAGCTTTCTTATGTTTCAAACTTAGCATTCTGCTAGGTCTGAAGTTCAAAATCTTTTAAGTTGCAAAGATATAGAGATATAATTGAAATTTAAAGTTTGACGCAAGTGTTGAGATGCTTTTGTTCTTCCTCGTTTTTTGTGAAAATTCACAGGTTAATAAGGGTTTTAGAGTAGTAGGTAAATGTTTTCTGTTTAATCTACTTTTTTAAAGTTTTCAATGGTTACATTTCTTAAAAACAACGAAATTTTTGTCTTTTTTTCCTTCCCCATGTTTTTTATCGCTTTTGTATCTCTTTTCCATTACAGATTTCCAATATTTTCTAATATTTGCAGGTATTGCGAGGACATGGATCTGATGTGAAATGTTGTGATTGGCACCCACAGAAGGGGATTGTTGTATCTGGGAGTAAAGATAATCAGCAGCCGCTTAAACTCTGGGATCCTAGGAATGGAACGGTTAGTACTTAAACATAATATACAAGCTGAAGGGCTCGACATTGCCCGTGAGAAAAAAAAAATTGAGAAAAAATTTTGTATTTTTTATAGCCAATTGCACTCCCCGGCCACCACTGAGTGTCCAAAAAAATTTCAGCCCAATCGGTCCAGCCGTTTGGCCGGCTTTAGGCAACATATATATATATATATATACGAATGTCTTGTTTTTTTTTATAATATATTATTAGCCACTTAGATGATTATTTTCCATCCTATTGTTAGAAGATTTAATACGTTAAGACCGATCTAATAAAACTCGAGCTTTTGGAAAGACCGATTCCTTAGGTTGGCTTCTGATTGGTTCTGACTCGACCAATGAGCGACTCCTTTCAAATTCTCTGTCTGCATATGCAGACGGAACAACTGACGAAATCCATATCAAAAGTGAAAAAAAGGAATTCTTAGAGTAAAATACTTTCAAACGTAAAAAAAACTAAAATATCTTTTTCATTATTGATCAGATAATGGTTTTAAGGGAACCGTTGTGAATCGAGCATTGTCATCTTTGCATGAAAGGTCGTCTTAAATTACGCTGACAGAGTCCCTTTATGGAATACTGTCTAAGGATGCTCTAAATCAATTTTGTTATTTTCAGGTTTTGACGACGATACACGCACATAAGTCCACTGTTATGGATTGTAGGTTTAACAGGAACGGGAATTGGTTACTCACCGCTAGCAGAGATCATCTATTGAAGCTATTCGATATCAGGTAGCTTTTCATACCCCTATCTCCCCCTCTATTGAATATCTGGAAGCTTTTTCACTCACCCCCCTCCCCTTCCCTCTATTCGAGATCGGGAAGCTTCCCCACCAGTGCTTAGGATCCGGATCCGTTGGATCCGCAAGATTTTGGCTTCCTGGATCCGGATCGGCTAAAATATGCGGATCCACGGATCCGGATCCAAGGGGTAAAATATCAACCAAAAACTGCCAAAAAAAAAAAAAAACTTTTTTACTCCTATACCCCAATTCTGAACTTTTGAAAAAAAGAAAGATTACAAAAATTTCCTCATTTCTGAATGGTTTTTAAGTTTTAGGATAAAAACAAGTGAAAAAAATAAAACAAAAAAGTTGAAAATTATTTGTAGTAAAAAAAATTCAGTAAATCTTAAAGAAACGACCTGGATCCGGATCCATTTTTTTCCAGTGCGGATCCAGGATCCGGATCCGGATCAAAATTAAATGGATCCTAAGCACTGATCCCAACCCCTCTATTCGAGATCGGGAAGCTTCCCCCCCCCCCTCCCCAACTTCAGTTCGATGTCACAATAAAACTGTTATGAATTGGACAATGGTCAATGGACATGCCAGTCTTTAAATAGAAATCCACGTTAAACTATGTCTAAGTACCTTAACGATGATTTTGTCGTTAATTTGAAGAAATTTTTTGGACAATAGATAAGCTTGGTGGGTGGTTCTTAAAATAATAACCTTTAGTTTATAATGAAAAGATATTTAACTATTCAACTTGTAGAATAAATAATTAATATTTTGTCATTTAGAAATATGAAAGAGGAGGTTCAGACCTTCAGAGGGCACAAAAAGGAGGCGAGTGCTGTAGCCTGGCATCCTATTCATGAAGGTTTATTCTGTAGCGGGGGTAGTGATGGTTCAGTAATTTTCTGGCACGTCGATCAGGAGAAGGAAGTGGGACAAATTGAACAGGTACTATTCTACATTCAAGAACTGGATTCAAATCGAAATGGAAAGGATTCTTCTTTTTTTATGTTTTATGGCATATTCGATTTTACCATCAGATTTCTGCTACAGACGCACTGGAGGGTATTGTTAGAACTAACAACTTTAAGTAGAAAAACGACGATATCATCCACCAAGTCTAGATTCCACCAGTCTGCAAAAATGTTAATTTAAAATAATAGGTTCTGACAACCGGGGTTCTAAGTGGTCCCAGGTAACTCCCCAGCTATCTTACCAAAATCAGAAAACTTGACTTCTCAAACAATATTGATAAATTGGTTAAAATCATATTTTTCTCAGAATTTTGCCATGCTAGCAGTCAATTTTCCAGTTCCAAGCAAGCTATAGAAACGAAACTATTTCTAGAATTCTCAAATCAAAGTAAAGAAACTATTTTTCATACCTCTAAGATGTAACTTGAGTACTGAGGCGTTAAAATGGCGCAAAGTATTTTAGCAGTATTTATGCCACAGAGTTTATTTAATAAAGATGACCATTGACCGGTTTGCGCTTACGCTCTTATAGCACCATCACCTTCTTACACTTTACATGCAGGAAAAGTAACTTAACAAATTGTAAAAAATAGGTTATTCAAGAATATATACTTTCTTGTCTACATAGAACCTGTTGGAGAACAGATTTATGTTAAAAAAAAACTTTCTCAATTTCGTAAAAGTATCTTTTAGTCCTTATAACGCCTCTAGTAGTAATGTAACAATTAGAAGTTATAAGAACAGTTATTTCAAGTCTGATTTGAGAATTCTAAAAAAATGTAGGAGATCTAATTGTTAGCATGGCAAATTTTTGAGAAAAATATAATTTTAATTAATTAATCAATATTGTTTGAGAACACAAGTTTTCTGATTTTGGTGTGATAGCTAGGGAGTTACCTGGAATCACTTAAAAGCACCCCCCGTGGTCAGAACCTGGTGCAGCCTGGTGTAAGATGTAATTTTCACAGGATCTACTAAACTGGCCTTTCTTTAACTCTTCTTTGCATGATCAATGGTCATACCAACCCCGAAACTAAACTTGTGAATTTTATTGCTATTTTTCTTGAAAGCTAAATAAAATCTTTAGTACAGTACAGTACAGTACAGTGCAGTACAGTACAGTACAGTACAGTACAGTACAGTACAGTACAGTACAGTACAGTACAGTACAGTACAGTTTATATTTGTAGGCTCATGAATCTATAGTGTGGACTCTAGTCTGGCATCCTGTAGGACATATTCTCACTACCGGCAGTAACGATCATACAGTCAAATTCTGGTCAAGGTAATTGATTGATTGATATGAGGGAAACAATGATTAAGGATTGATTAATTGATGGAGTGATTGATTGACGTATTGTTAGAATTGTCAAATAACTGGTTGATTGGACAATTATTTACTGACGAATTCATTTATTTCTCTGATTAATGACCTTAATGAGTCATTAGTTTGCTCGTAGATTAATTCATTCATCGATTTTTAGATGACTGATTAAATGTGATCGATCGATTATTTATTTCAATAAGTTTTTGTTCAGAAACCGGCCTGGAGATCCAATGCGGGACAAGTACAACCTGAATACTCTGCCTGCAGGAGTTGAAGAGGATACTGGAAATATTGGAGATATCAACGATACTAAACCAGGTGAGTAGAAGATGATACTGGAAATATTGGAGATATCAACGATACTAAACCAGGTCAGTAGCGTACACTTTAAATGAAAGAAGGAAACCCAATTTTAAGGAGTGGATGGAATGGTTTCTAGTTCTATACCTGGGATAGGTGGAGTATATAGAGTATATTATGTTTAGGAGTGAATGAAGTAGTAGTTGGTTCTAGTTCTATACCTGGGATAGGTGGAGTATATACAGTATATTATGTTTAGGAGTGGTTGGATTGGGTTCTATTTCTATACCTGGTATGGGTAGAGTGCATAGAGTATATTATGTTTAGGAGTGAATGGAGTAGTGGGGTCTAGATCTTTACCTGGTATGGGTGGAGTATATAGAGTATATTATGTTTAGGTGTGGATGGAGTGGGAGTGGGTTCTAGTTCTATACCTGGTATGGGTGGAGTGGATCGAACAGAGAAGCAAGATTTCAAGTTGTCTATTCCTGGTCTTGATGTACAGGTATTAACAGGGGTAAATAGGGGGGGGGGGGGGGTTAGATGTCTTTCCTAATTTTTCTGATATTTTGTAGAATTACTTTTAAAAATTACAAATGTAGAATTACTATTAAAAATTACAAATGGGACATCAACTGGTTCCTCTTTTTGTTAATATTTATAAAAAAAACTTTTTTCCTTTGATTCAGTAATATTATTTTATGAATACATTTCTTGGTAGTGCTTAGATCCGGATCCGTTAGGTTAATCTAGAGCGTCCAAGAAATAATGTAAAAATAAGATTTCTAATTAACAAAATTATGATTTGCCAGGGCGCCCCTGAAGAGCCCTCTCTGAAGAAAACTCCTTTCGTGAAACCTATTTCTAGAACCTTCCAATCCTCGTGGAACGAACCTAAAACAGAGGATAGAGGAGTCAAACGATTATATGGTAAACTTTTTTTTTGTGTTGTTTTTCTTCTTTGATTTTTTTGCAAGATAAGTACAATTTAAGTCTTAAAGTTGATTGATTTTCTATGTTTTGGGGTCAATTTTTCTTTAAGTTTGCGTTGTTTTATTTGGTTTGATTTTTAGACTGTTTTTTTTATTGTGGAATAGAAAGACATCATTCACGCAGTTGTTATAAAGCAACTCGTTTCACCAGTAGCTTGATAAACAACTATGGGCGATAATGTAGGTCCTTGAGTCTCTTCTTTCTATTCCTCAGCATCACGGAACCCGCCACTGGATCATTGAGTTGAATTGGGATTTATTCAGGGGTGTATATTTTCCTAAATATCACCCCCCCCCTTTTGGAAGTAATTTTTTTCTCAAGACGTTGGGTATTTTTTAGGGCTTTATTTGCTGAATTTGGGAAAAGAAATCATTTTCAGGGGAAAGTAAATAAAAATTTGGACACCTTAGGCCTAGATTGGTTTTGATAACAGGATAACTTGGGGGCGTTATCCATGGATACACTGGTTGGACAGGAGCGCCGGCCCCACTTTTCATTGACTGAAGGGTTGTCCTTTAATAATAATAATACTAATAATAATCATAGTAATAATAATAATAATATTGATTTGTCTTCAAATTAAGTGTAGATTGTGATGCATTTTTTAGAAAATAAATTATTATATTTATTGATTGCAGGTGAGCGTGAAAGTAGCAATCTCCCTCTTCCTAGTCAAGTAGTTGGAGCAGGAGTAGGTCCAACTCGTGGAGTAGGTGCTGTAGGAGTAGGTCCCCTTGATCCTCGGAGAAATGAAGTTACTGCTCAACCAACTGCAATCACACTCTCACAACTTCAACAGGTTTTTTTAATTTTGTAATATTAGCTTAGTCTATCTAATACAAAAACGTCATTGTCGTCGAACCAAACAGGCTCAAGTGGCCCACATTTTGGAGTGGGTACAAAACGTCGATTATCAAAACGCCGATTTTCAAAACGTCGATTATCAAAACGTTGAATAACAAAACGACGATGATTAAAAACACCGACTGCTACAAAACGTCCATGATACAAAACGTCGACTGCTCTAAAATGTCGAAATTACAAAACGTATTGTTTTATATGTATATGTATATACAAACATATGTTTAGGAAGCTACAGCTGTTGTAGCCCTGGGTCAGATTATACCTGTTCTTCCTGGAGGCCCTCTCTATCAGTCTATAGGAGCAGGAGAGATGGCAATTAGAGACACATTGCTCAGGTCCAATATTTGGTTTTAAAATAAGATTCTATTTATGTATACTTTGTTTGGGTGGGTGGGTGTTAGTCTGTTTGTTTGTTTGTTTGTCTGTTTATATCCAATAAACGTCAAAACAGCTAAACCGATAGGGTCCAATTTTTTTGTGGAACCTTGCGTGACCCCAGAGAAATATGGATGATCGAATTTAAAAAAAATTTACCTCTTGAACATTTGAATTTGAAATCCCCGACATTTTATTTTATAAAATCCGCGAAATTTTTGTTTGTTTTTGTTTTACAAAGTATACAAAGAGAACATGTTCAGAATTGAAATAGAAGATGGCGCGAAGCGCCCTAAAAGCCTAGTAATAAAAAAGTGTTCATGGATTCAAAATTATAAACAGCCCATATCCTTTGATCCACATTGTGGGAACAATTTAAAATTTTAATTTAAATCAACTTTGAAAGAACTATAAAAATAAGTATTTTAGATCAAATTCACGAAACAAAATCAACATATTCAGGGTGGCCAAAATGTACGGATTGTACGGATTGTACGGATTGATTTTTTTTAAACCCTAAAATTGTACGGATTGTACGGATTGTACGGATTTGTTTTCAAATTGTACGGATTGTACGGATTTTATCCTGGAAAATACACCGTTTTTTTAAACTTTCACTCATTTCAGCAAATTTTTCATGAAAATAAAAAAAAATGAAGTTAGTTTAACTTATTTTCTGCATTCTAGATAATATTAGATTGATTAATGTTTCAATTGACAATCAAAATTCATTCATAAGTTTCCTGTACCCAGTTTCCTGTACCCAGTATCCTGTACCCAGTATCCTGTACCCAGTATCCTGTACCCAGTATCCTGTACCCAGTATCATGTACCCAGTATCATGTACCCAGTATCATGTACCCAGTATCATGCACCCAGTATGTAAAAATTATTTTATTAATCTTGGTCGATGAAAGACTATGTTCATTGTTAATTATGTGATGAATTAAAATATGTGTTCATGAAGTTAAGAAATTTATTAATAATTTCGAACTAGTTTTACAATGTCTTAAATTTAGTACTGTGAGAACCATAAAATTTTGGGATAGAGAGACTGTTCGACTCAGTTTTGATAAGTCTAGTGGGTATTATTCCTATCCATCTATATCTTCCTTGATAAATGTCTAATGAGTATTATTCCTATTCCATTTATACCTTCCTTGATTAATGTCTAGTGGGTATTATTCCATCTATATTCTCCCTGATTAATGTCTAGTGAGTATTATTCCTATTCCATCTATACCTTCCTTGATTAATGTCTAGTGAGTAATATTCCTATCCATCTATATCTTCCTTGATAAATGTCTAATGAGAATTATTCCTATTCCATTTATACCTTCCTTGTTAAATGTCTATAGTGAGTATAATATTCCTATTCCATCTAAATCCTCCCTGATTAATGTCTAGTTAGTGTTATTCCTATTCCATCTATACCTTCCTAGATAAATGTCTAGTGAGTATTATTCCTTTTCCATCTATACCTTCCTTGATAAATGTCTAGTGAGAGTTATTCCTTTTCCATCTATATCTTCTTGATAAATGTCTAATGAGTATTATTACTATTCCATCTATACCTACCTTGATAAATGTCTATAGTGAGTATAATATTCCTATTCCATCTAAATCCTCCCTGATTAATGTCTAGTTAGTATTATTCCTATTCCCTCAATATCCTACCTGATAAATGTCTAGTGAGTATTATTTCTATAGCATTTATACCTTCCTTGATTAATGTCTAGTGAGTAATATTCCTATTCCATCTATACCTTCCTTGATAAATGTCTCATGAGTATTATTCCTATTCCATCTACACCTTCCCTGATTAATGTCTAGTGGGTATTATTCCTATTCCATCTATATCTTCCTTGATAAATGTCTAATGAGTATTATTCCTATTCCATCTATGCCTACCTTGTTAAATGTCTATAGTGAGTATAATATTCCTATTCCATCTAAATTCTCCCTGATTAATGTCTAGTTAGTATTATTCCTATTCCCTCAATATCCTACCTGAGAAATGTCTAGTTAGTATTATTCCTATTCAATATATACCTTCCTTGATAAATGTCTAGTGGGTTATATTTGTAACCTTCCCTGATTAATACGTTCATTAACCTTCCTCAAATAATGTCTGCAAGTATGTTCCTAGAGCGTATATTTGCTCTCTACCTCTCTCAGTGTCTAGCCGCCATAAAACAAAGAGGAGATAAATCTAAACAGAACTTCACAGGTTGCTGTTCAAACCTTTCTAACAGATTTAAACATGTTTTATGATTTACAAATATCAAATAAGTTCAGTTATATTTCGCTTTGTTTCAGTGGTATATTTCTAACGATTTTTGGACCCCCCAGGCCCCCCCCTTTCAATTCTGTGCATGGATCTTATATATTACACATGGATATAATTGACCATGTGGCCGCAGCACTCAGCCCCCTAGCCTGTCCTAGCCGCAGCGCTCGGCCTAGAAAGTGTCGTATAACTAACCTAACCCGTGGCCGCAGTGCTCGGCCCCCTAGCCTTTCCTAGCCGCAGCGCGCGGCCCAGAAAGTGTCTTAACCTAACCTAACTCTTAATAATAATATATAAATACTAATTTACTAATTTCGTCATGTACAAAATTGATAGGAGGGGGGGGGGGGCCCCCCTCCTGGGGTTAGG